ACGTCCTCAAAGTAATCCGATCCTTCTGTTTGGGACGCCGAAGCGTCCCATTCTCTCGCTGTTCCGGACCTTGTCCTCACAACGGACCCCCATAATCCATAATGGACTAATGCCACTTACAACCGTCGTCGAGGACCGGACGATTTACATCCGCTCGAGTGCAGTGCCTGTCACCGACTGTCTCGAAAATCTACTACGGCCTTCTCCCCCTAGTCTGAACATCTCCGCGGCGGTGGGTCATCCGTTACCCCACCACCACCAATCAGCTCGACGGCAATCGAGGGGGCGCTAGTCCTCTTACCTAGTCGTTGGTCTCTAGTCTAAGTCGATAGCGCCTCTAGAATCGCCCAGTTGGAACGCCAGTCCGTTGGCCCGTTTCCCCCAAACACAGCTGGGCGAGTTTCTAGATAAGGCGACAGGGTATCGACAGCCTCTCTATAATGTTCAGAAGCATGGTTTCACCCAAACCACGCCTCTTGGCATTATTTGATTGGTCTATTCACCTCACGCGCAGTTCACTGAAACCGCCGTTCGATGTCACTCTCATCTCTCGCTCAGCTTTTTCAGCCGGCGTTAGATGTCGCTCTCTCTCTGTCCCTCACTCTAACCATTTTTAACTCATGGGTTTTCGTGTTGGTAAAACAGTTTACCGTAACGAGAAAATCTCGTTACAACTATCATTCATTGGAGTCATGTCAGCGGTTGTGCAGACCTCATTTTGGATTTAAATGATTCCTCACCTGTTAGGGGGAAATTCATTACTTGGATCGTCTGATTTCCATTGACAGTGTTCATCGATTTCCAGGACATTTTTTTCTCTGAAGATCCAACTGTGACAATCCGACTGACACTCACATCAAACCATTGCACAATTTTGAGATTGATGGGATCGAATCATTGTGTCATGAAACAAAAATGACTCCTCACGTGTTTATAATTTATTGATCCAGCACATTTCATTTTTGAACAAATGCTAAAACAGTCTTGATGCATGCAGACGGGGAGAAACAACACAACTGATCGTCTGCGGGCGTACGCCTGTTTAGGGTTCTGGAATCCTATGACAAATTCCCAATCTCCGTTTTGAAATGTAGGAAAAAAAATTTCCTTTATTCTTACTACAGAACAAAATGATCTAACAGTTGAAATTTTATCTACGTACATCAGAGATTGAATTCAAGAATATTTTTCAAAATTACTTTTATTGAAAATTATAAAGAAAAATCATCTTTGTTCATTCCAGAATTTAAAGCGAAGATTTGCCCAGTAGTGTTGCCAGCGTTTGTGGGGTGACTCGATGAACTCAGAGTGTTAACCCAGTATTTATTCCAGAAGGATTCCAATATACGCTTGTCCAACGATTACTTGAAATAAAAGTGTTCCAGAGGGTGATACTGGTTGCAACGAACTCCAAAATATTCGATTTTATTGAGTGGCATTGTCTGCAACTCTGAGGGGGCTTGCTTCCTTGGTTTGAAGTCCTAGACAGAGTAGAAAAGTTTGGAATGATGAGGAATTTAGATGGATGAAGAATTATGCTTTGATGAACGATTGGATACCCTAGTAAATGCTTATGAGTCTAATTCAGCCTCCAAGTACAATTCAGATCAAACCCGAAGATAAAGAGGATCATATGAGACTCTAATTCAACATAAATCATAGTTTGGGTTGTTCAATTGGTAACATTCATTGTAATTATTTTGAAAATTGAATTTTTGTAGGAAGTTTTCAAAAAGGGACTCCTCAGAATTCTGTTAATTAATTAAAATTGTTCGCATGTTCAGTCTCAATTGTCATTACAAAAAATCGTTTTCGAATTTTTAAGAATGGAAAACTATTGAAAAATCAAATCCCTTCAGGCTCACGTCCTTTGACTCCAAAATAGTTGTTTTCAAGGTACTCACTAAAACAAACTTCTCCAAATTTCACATTCTTATTAAAAAATTCCCTAGTGTCCTTTCGACATACATGTCATCAATAATTATCTGGAGTGAATACCTCAGAGAATCGTTGGTGAATCCCAAAGATGTTGACAAAAAAAAATATTCTCATGGAATTCTTACCTTTTGCAAATATATCCATTAAATACGATTTCCTGACACTTGACGAAATTATATCCTCTGCAGTATTCATCAGAAGTTCAAAGGATTCTCGTCCAATTGGATTCCCATTCCTTATGTTCAGAAGTGCAGCCCAAGATAAATCATTTTTCTTTGCCTGCCTGAAATGGCCCCTGGCTCAATCTTCCAGATTCCCATTTCCTGGGTGCTTTCAATGGACTCTCCTCATCCTGAACATGAGATACTGATTCAACAACAATCATGTCCATCCTCCCAAATTATGGTTTGCACTGGTGTTTGGGTGATGTTCATCAATTCCGCCTACTCCTGAATGACTTAGGATTATCCAGAAGAGAGAACTTTATATCTGTTGGCTCATCTCATCCCCATTGACTTTGTTAATGGCCTTCCAAGGTTTTTTTTTCTCACAGACCCTCCAATTGTACATTGACATAGGCACTGCATTGAACCCCACAATGTTGAGGTCGATGGTATGAAATAATTTCAGCATTAAATACGAATGATTCCCCAAATATTGTTAATTAATTGAATTGGTTTTAATGCACTAAACCAACATCAAAACAAACACTTCAAATCCGCATGCGATTGCGAGGGGGGAGCACTCAACGCACAGCAGACGGTCCCCCGGGGAAGACTGCGCGTGCGCAGCCTCCCCCCCAAGTCAGAATTAGAAAAAAATTAATTAAAAAATAAGTATTAATTCCCAAACTCTAAGTCAGTGTTTTTTGGTCTTCCCAAATGATTTTACATCGATCTAAACCGGTCCGATCAATGATTGGTCATACCATCGGCTAACTATACGCCATATAAAAAAGTAATTAATTATAAATAAACTATTAGTTCTTAATCTATGAAATTAATTCCTAAACTATCCTAAACTATTCCCAAATGATTGAAATTGGTTTCATTCCAAAATTCGCTAATTGCCAGCTAATTATATGTCCGTCCGAGATCACGGTGGTCGATAATCCTATGGAGATTGATTTTATCGACTGCTGTGACATTCATTCAAAAAGAAAATTACTGAAGAGCCTAATAATGTAAACTGATAATTTAATCTCCATGGGATTATCGACCACCGTGATCTCGGAAGTTGTCTGCATGTGTCACACAATATGGCTATCGAAAACTGTCAAATTGCCCAAAATAAAAAATTATTTCCTTCACAATTCAGGAATTCGGGGAGTGCCCGATTCGATTTCACACGGGGCCGACATGAAAAACAATTTTTTGGACGTAAGTTTCATCTCATTCATTCCATTAATTAGCCCGTGGGAATGTTTCAAAATTTTACCCGCTTTTCTATATCTATATATATACACTCGTGGCGCCTTAACCCGTGGTCGATAATGATATCAATTAGGATCCTTCTTCATCAACAGCTGACATCAGTTTGCTCGGCAAAACAGGTTTCTGACCCTGTATATTCAGTCGTTCATGGAACACGGGTGCATTTTTCCCTGCGGTCCATTTCACCCCTTGGTCCATGGTGCCCAATTTTTCCCAACGTGGGGTTTCACGGAGGTCATTGTTGTGATCATTCATAGAATTAAAGCTATGATAATGAAAAAAATATCAGCGTTCCAAAAGTTTTGTTTTTTGAAAAACTGGAAGACGCCTGAGTTGATTTTGCTCAAAAATCCACTCTGGTGTACTGCATATGACTATTCATCGATTGAATGAAAAACAATCAAAATTGGATCATTTCTACAAGAATAATGATCGAATTTGTAAAAAAAAGGAAATTTTTGACGTTTTTTCACATGTGTTTTGCAAATAACTAGAAAACCCCTAAGACGTTCGTTTCCACAAACTAATCAGTTCTAAGTTACACATAAGATGCATCGATTGCAAAAAGAATTTCAATTGCATCATTCGTTCAAGAGTAATTATGGGGCAAAATTTTGTTCGCGTACATTCACACACACGCACACACACACACACACAGCCCTCCTAGGAACTGCAGGACCTTATCGACGGTGGAGGGGCTTAAGGGATACATCCCAAACTAAGAAGCAGTTCAAGCCGAGGCCTGTCCTTTTCAGGACATCTTCGGAGAGAAGCCCTACTCCAAAAGAGGCGTGCAGGGTGGGGTCCCTATAACAGCCTACAAAGTGAATAGGGTGGGTACTCTTTAACAACCTAGATCAATAATAAACAGTGACGAGAAAACACAAAGTTCCCATGCGGGTATTCCTGCCAAGGTAAATCCCGCCGTCATTTCCCTATCGGGTGCAAGCCCCGGTGGCTGATGCCGGCTCCATGGATTGTCGGAGGAGCCAATTATCACAAAGTAGCTCAAAGGTGAACTCCTTGGCCTCAGATGCTACAAAGAGAGACGAGTCGCAGACTCAACAGGAGATAGAATGTTGTCGCGCATGGGCGCGACTTGAAAAACTCATCACAGAGTTACATGAGTTTGTCCAGCCCAGATCAAATGTCCACAAGGAGATCAAATCTAAGGGGGCATACATCGGCAGTGCATTGAGACGACTCAACAGCTTGGAGGAGGCATGTACCAAAGCTGAATCCAGTATCACTGAGCCCGTGCAGACTCCTTTAGCACCACCCACGCTGCGTGTACGGACTGACTCCGAAACAACGGCGAAGGACTTAGAGATGGAAAATCCGGTAACTCGAGATATCCGGAAAGCACTACGAAGAAAGCGCTTGAAAGGCTCACCTGTGGCAGGAGCTCAAAGCACGAAAAAGCTGAAGCAACAGGAACTGAATAACAAGGCTGCCCCGCAGGGGACACCAACTGGTGATGGGTCAGATTGGAAGCTGGTCGATGCCAAAAGGGGACGGAAACAAGAAGAGAAACAGTTTCTGAAGCCACCTTCCGAGAAGAAGCAGAAGTAAAAGACACGTTGGAAGTCAGCGCCAAGACCTGATGCTCTGATTGTCCGACCCAAGGACATGGAGAAATACTCAGATATCCTATGCCGAGTAAAGAAGGATATTCCTTCAGAGCAAGCTCGAGATTGTGTCGACAAGATCCATAGAACAGCGACTGGGGATATGTTGATCATTTTGAGCAGGAATGCGACCGACGGAGCCCCCCAGCTGCGTACAGCCATTGCCAGTCTCCTTGGAGATGAAGCTCAGGTACTGAGTATGGGGCCACAAGAAGTCCTGGACATAAAGGATCTCGATGAGAAAACGACGAAGAAAGATGTCCTCGAAGCCCTACGAGCAGCAGCCGGAGAAGGGCATGATATCAGTCAAAATGTGGTCCAATCCCTGCGGAAGGCATATGGAGGAATGCAGACTGGCTTCGTGACACTCACGGCGACAACAGCTAGGAAGATCCTAGGAGAACATGGCAAGATCAAGTTAGGATGGGTGAATTGCCGTATAAGGAGAGTGGTGAGGCCAGTCAAGTGCTTTAAGTGCTGGCAATATGGTCTTCTTGCCACAAAATGTGGAAGCACAGTCGATCGATCAGAATTCTGTGTCAAGTATGCAGGGGTTGGTCACAAGATTAAAAATTGTCAAAAAAAGCCGCAGTGTGTCCTGTCCACTGAGAACAACCCAGAGAACTACGCCCACATTGCTGGTGGCAGCAGATGCGCCACATACAAGGAGGCACTTTAGGCGTGGACCAAAACACAAAGATGAGAGTACTACAGCTCAATCTCAATCACTGTGAGGCTGCACACAACCTACTTACACAGTCGGTGCGCGTGCTGCAGCCTGATCTTGTCATGATCTCGGAGCCATACAAGCATCTCAATGCTCTGCCATGGGAGACGGACACCACCGCTAAGGCTGTCATTTGGTGCTGCGGTAAGTACCCCTTCCAAAGTATAGCTAACACAGCGGAGAGCGGCTTTGTGAGGGCTAAGCTGAATGGAATTCACTTCTGCAGTTACTATGCTCCACGTAGCCTGTCTATCGACGAGTTCGCAGACTCCCTGGACCGACTGACGGAGGATGCGAAGCAGCACTTCCACATCGCCATCGCTGTGGACTTCAACGCCTGGGCAGTCGACTTGGGCAGCAAGGAGACAAATACGAGGAGTCAAACACTACTGGAGGCCATGTCTTTTTTGAACGTGGTACTGCTGAACATTGGCGCAAGAACCAACTTACGAGAGAGGAGGGGCTAGTTCAATCGTTGACCTCACCTTCGTCAGCAGCAGCCTCACTCGGGGAAGCTGCAACTGGGAGGTGTTGGATATCTTCACCGTCAGCGACCATCACGCGATCCTCTGGGAAGTATCCACTATTCGGAAGACTGGACCAGCACCTAGCAAGACCAACGCGGTTCGATGGAAGTTGAAGGCCTTCGACTCCAACTCATTCCGAGAAACATTCGACGATCGCCCGACCCGGGGAAGCAATGCCACAGAGAAAGTGCGAGAAGTTATGCGTACAGTCACCGAAGCCGGTGATGCAACTATACCCCGGAAGCATAGTGCAAGCAAGCACCCATCGGTGTACTGGTGGAACAACACCATCGCCACCCTTCGAAATGCTTGCATTCGAACGAGAAGGCAGGCACAACGAGGTCGGAAGAAGCCAAACTTCGAAGAACTGGAGACCAAGTACAAGGAGGCACGCCTGACACTCAATAAGGCGATGAAGGGAAGCAAGGGACAGTGCTGGAATGAGCTCCTTCACGATATCGAAGCGGATCCGTGGGGGTGACCCTACGGTGTGGTCATGAAGCGGCTGAAAACCCAGCCGATGCCATCGCCTACCGGCCCTGAACTTTTAGAGAAGATTGTCGCAGTTCTGTTCCCGTAACAACCGGAGCTTGACTTCTTCACCGAAAAGTGCGATATAGAAGCGATCCCACCAGTGACACTTGAGCAGCTTCTGGAAGCCTGTGGCAGATTTGGGAACACCAAGGCACCAGGAATGGATGGAATCCCGAACATCGCCCTGAAGGTAGCAATCAACGTACCGCCAGGAGCGTTCCTGAGTGTCTACAATGCGTGTCTTCAGGAGGGGATTTTCCCAACCAAGTGAAAGCAGCAGAGACTCGTATTCCTTCCCAAAGGGAAGAAGCCTTTGGATGAACCCTCGTCCTATCGTCCACTCTGCATGCTGGACACAGCCGGAAAAATTCTGGAGCGCATACTCCACCAGAGGATTGAGGAAGTGGTCGAACCACAACTGACCGACAACCAATACGGTTTCCGTAGAGGTCGTTCCACGCTTAACGCCACCAACCTAGTCATCTCCATTGCACGGGACGCAATCTCTGGCACAAGGTGGAAATGGGGCGCGAAGCAGTACTGTCTGGTAGTAACGTTGAACATAAAAAATGCCTTCAACTCCGCCAGATGAGACTGCATCATGGAGGCCCTCTCAAATCTAAATGTGCCAGGATATCTGCAAAGGATGGTGCGAAGCTACTTCACCGACAGAGTCCTGAAATACGATGCAGACATAGGCCCAAAAGAGTACAGAGTCACCGGTGGTGTTCCCCAAGGCTCAGTGCCTGGCTCTCTCGTGGCACGTTACGTACGACGGTCTTCTGAAGTTAACGTTATCCAAGGAAGCTACACTCGTCGCGTTGGGAGACGGTGTAGCTCTGGTAATCGTTGCAAAGCGCCTGGAGGAGATCAATTATATTTTTGATACTGCATATGACAGGATTCGTCAATGGATGGACTCAGTGAGACTGACGTTGGCAGAAAATAAGGCGGAGGCTGTGCTGATCACGAGCCGACAGAAGTTTGAAACCATCACGCTGTATGTCGGGAATCATGAAATCATGTCCCAACCGTCGCTACAGTACCTGGGGGTGATGATCGATAACCGGCTTAGCTTCAAGCAGCAAGTGGAGTGCGTCAGCGCTAAGGCGTCTGGAGTTAGAACCGTCCTTTCACGGCTCATGCCGAACATCGAAGGGCCAAAGCAGAAGAGAAGAGCGTTGCTGTCATCAGTTGTCACGTCGGTCCTCACATATGGCATTCCCATTTGGGCTGACGTACTCTTGATCCAGCACGCGCGACGGAAGGTGGCGTCGGTCTATCGATTGAGCGCCTTCCGAGTTGCCAGCGCATTTCGCACGGTGTCAGAAGATGCCGGGTGTGTCGTCGCCGGGATGCTGCTGATAGGAGTACTTGCCGAGGAACGACGATGCTTCTACCGGCGGAAAAGCTTAACAACGCGGAGTGTAGCTGAGCTGAGAACGAACGAGAGGAGCAACAGTCTGCATCGATGGCAGTTGCTGTGGGATGCCTCGACCAATAGGAGATGGACTCACCGCCTGGTCGCGAAATTGCAAGCATGAGTCAACTAAACACATGGAGAAGTAAACTACTATCTCACACAGATGATCTCGGGATACGGGTGCTTCCGGCAATATCTTCATAGGTTCAAATATGAGGAATCGCCGGAGTGCCCGGCCTGCACAGGAGTCTCCGAAGATGCGAAGCATGTATTCTTCGTGTGCCAGCGCTTCAACGTGCCCCGCAGCACTCTTGAGACTGCACTCGGAGTGAGGATTCAGCCTGAGAATCTGGTGGAAGTAATGCTTTCATCAGAGGCAGCCTGGGAGGCAACAAGCACCTTTGTAGCGGAAGTCCTAAAGGACCTACGCAAGGCTGAACGAGAGAGAAACCGAGACACGAGGAAGAAGAAGAGCAATTGAGAGGAAGGGAGCGTTGACTTCGATGAACAGAAGGAAGAGCTACGGCTGAATCGTCCCCCCGTATACCAATGCCTAGCGGCGGTCCCGCGGGGGAGTAGGAGGCAGGGGAAAGGGGTATCTTTTTAATCCGTATGGGTTGCATATTTGCCGAGCCAATACAAGCCAGATTTCCATCAGCCATGGCGGCTCGTTGTCGACACTATCCAGACCAGACCGAGTCGGACACAACACTCTAGGAGTCTTCAACTCGGAGTATGTGCATAAAGAGCATTTTTCTCCCTTAAAAAAAAAACACAGGAGACATGCTTATCGTCTCAATAAAAGACAGCGCCAGCAAAGCCCAGGTATTGCAAATGCCCATAGCCTTTCTTCTCGGATAAAAGGCTGAGGTTGTTAGAAACGGGCTTCAGGAGAATATCGAGATCGAAGATCTTGATGACATGACCACAAAGGAGGAAATTCTGGAAGCTCTGGACAAAACACCGGGCAGCGAGGTCCAGATTACGCTGGATGTCATAAAATTCCTGTGAGAAGCCTACGGAGGGACACAGAGGGCGTTGGTGACGCTGCCGGTGCTCGTAGCGAAGAAGATCCTGGGCGACCATGGCAAAATTCGGATAGGCTGGGTTAATTTCCAAGTGGGGAAACTGGAGAGACCGCTGAAGTGCTTTAAGTGCTGGTCCTACGGACATCTCGCCACGAAATGCACGAATACAGTTGACCGCTCCAAGCTCTGCGTCAAATGTTCAGCATCCGGCCTCAAGGTCTCAGACTGCACACAGCAGTCCCAATAGGCCTTATGCACCGAGAAGTAGTAGTAGATGTCCAGTGTATAAGGAGGCACTCCAGAAGATCCTCAATAAGCGACGATGAAAGTACTCCAACTCAACCTCAACCATTGTGAGGCCGCACACCATCTGCTTATGCAGGCGCCGCGGGAGCTGAAGCTAGAACTCGTTATCATCTCGTTATCATCTCGGAGCCGTATCATCACCTAGACGCTGAACCCTGTGTCACTGATGCTAGCACGAAGGCTGTAATCTGCATAAATTGCATAAATTTCATAAATGTCCCTAGAAGGTGGGATGAGCCGTCGTAAGGAATGCGTAAAATGCGCGTAAAGTGTCTACAAATTGCATAAATGTCCCTAGAAGGTGGGATGAGCCGTCGTAAGGAATGCGTAAAATGCGCGTAAAATGTCTACAAATTGCATAAATTTTTTTTTTTGGGCTTGTGGCAAGCGGCCATTTAAAACCACCAGTAATGGTACAGAAAATGGCTTTGTGAAGGCTAAGGTTGATGGAATTCATTTCTACAGCTGTTACGCCCTGCCGAGCCTTTCCACCGAGGCATTCAGGGACTTCCCAGATCGACTGAGTGAGGATGCGAAGCAGTAATTTCCTGTGGCAATTGCCGGGGGCTTCAATGCTTGGGCAGTCGACTGGGGAAGTAAAGTGATGAACATCAAGGGGCAAGCTGTACTGGAAGCCATGTCATCGTTTGACGTAGTCGTGCTGAACACCGGCGATGAACCAACCTTCACGAGAGGAGAGGCGAGCTCAATAGTGGATCTTACCTTCATGAGCAACAGCCTCGCAAAGGGAAACTGTTCATGGAGAGTAGCTGATATCTACACCGCAAGCGACCACTGTGCGATAGTCTGGGACATATGTTCTCGCAAGAGAGTCACCTCAACATTCAAGAGGACACATTGCATTGGCTGGGGAGTGAACACCTTCGAGCCTAGCTCTTTTTCAGCAGCATTAGACGACCACCCAATTAGTGACAGGAATGCTACTAAGAAGGCACGGAACGTCACTAAACGAGTAAAAGAAGCATGTGATGCCACCATGACCAAGAAGCGGACCACAAACGCGCATCCACCGGTCTACTGGTGGAAAACACCATCGCCACCCTGCGGAAAGAGTGTAATGCTGGTAGAAGATCATCTCAACGTGGCTGTAAAAAGCTGAACTTCAAGGAGCTGCAGATGAGGTATAAGAAGGCACGCCGGAAGCTCACCAAAACTATCAAGTGCAGTAAAAAGCAATCTTGGAGTGAGCTTCTTAATGAGGTGGAAGGTGACCCATGGGGTAGACCTTATAAAGTGGTGATGACAACGATTAAGACTCAACCGATGCCGTCGCCTACGTGTCCTATGTTGATGAAGAAAATCGTCACGGTTTTGTTCCCGCAACAACCAGAATTTCATCATTTTGACGAACAGGAAGAAGATACAATGTTGTTACCAATCACTAAAGAAGAGTCGATGGAAACCTGCAATAGGGTGGGTAACACCAACACCCCTGGTCTGGATGGAATCCCTAACATCGCCCTGAAGTCAGCTATCCACGCGATGCCGGAGATATTTTTGGACATATACAACGAGTGTCTAAGGGAGGACACCTTCCATGCCATGTGGAAGCAGCAGAGATCGGTACTACTCCCGAAAGGGAAAAAATCACCGGACGACCCATTATTATACCGTCCGATCTGCATGCTCGACACCGCTGGCAAGATCCTCGAGCGTATTGTTCATCAACGGATAGAAACAGCAGTCGAACCCTTGTTAGTGGACAACCAATATGGGTTCCGGAAAGGCCGGTCCACTCTCTATGCCATCAGCCTGGTCGTCGATATCACCAAGCATGCGATCTCAGGAAGAAGATGGCTAAATGGCACGAAGAAGTATTGTCCACTAGCGACACTAGACATCGAGAATACTTTCAACTCGGCGAAGGTGGACCTTATAATTGAAGCTCTCACGAAATTCAATGTATCGGATTACTTGCGGAAAATGATCGGCAGCTATTTCACTGAAAGAATCCTGAAGTACGCCACGGAGGATGGTCCTGAGGAGTATAGAGTCACCGAAGGTGTACCTCAAGTCTCGGTATTGGGTCCCTTGTTGTAGAACATCATGTGTGATGGGCTACTGAAGCTGGAACTGCCACGGAAAACTAAATTCGTGACATTTGCAGATGCTGTAGCCGTAGTCATTGTGGGCAAATATCTGGAGGAGATCAACCTCAGTTTCGACATGACTTTCGAGCAGTGATCGGCATCAATCATTATTCCAGAAATATTAAGAGAATTATTTCCCCAAATAACCGAATTCATTCGTTTATCATTGGAACTTGGAAAATAATAAATAATTGAGAATTTAAATTGTTTCAATAACTATTAGGTAAATAATGGGAAATTTTCCAAAAATATTAGAGATTATCAAATAATCGTCATTCTTCCGAATTCGATTATTAATTGGTAAAATAATTCGGAATTCAAATATTTAATAGTTGATTAATTTAATAATTAAAAATTGTTAAGTTCTATTACTTGATTGAGTATTTATGAAACTAATGGTAATGATAATTTATGATTATGCCTATCTCTCCTTTCGAGAGGATTTGTCGCTGGATGAACACCGTAGGACTGAGGCTAGCTGAACATGAGACCGAAGCCGTGCTGATCACGAGCAGAAAGAAAATTCTGACAATCACTCTGCAGGTCGGAGCTTGCGAAATCACCTCCCAGCTTTACATTCGATACCTGCAGGTGGTGATCGATTCCCGACTAAATTTCAAGGAGCAAGCTGAGCATGTAGGTATCAAGGCGTCTAGAGTCAGATTCAGCTTATCGTGCCTCATGCCCAATATAGGAGATTCAAAACAGCGAGCACGAGCATTACTGCCGGCATTACTGTCCGTGATCTCGTTGGTGCTCATCCACGGCATTTCCATCTGGGCGGATGTAGTAAAGTTGCAGGAATCACTGCGGAGAGTTGCACCAGTCTACCGACTGAGTGCTCTGCGAGTCACGAGCACTTACCTTACGGTATCCGAAGACGCAGTGTGCGTCATAGCCGGGATGATCCCCATAGAAAGATTGGCCGAAGAACGAAGGTGATTTTACCGGCGGAGGAAATCTGAGACACTGAGCGGAACAGAACTCAGGGCAGAAGAGAGGCACAAGAGTCTGCAGCAATGGCAGGAGAAGTGGGATAACGTGTCGAAGGGAAGATGGACTCACCGGCTGATCCCACAGGTGAATGCTTGTTTGAAACGCAACCGTGGTAAGGTTAATTATTACCTGACGCAAATGTTTTCGGGACATGGGTGGTTTCGGGCGTGTCTTCATAGATTCAAACATGAGGATTCTCCGAAGTGCCCAGTCTGCACCGAAGTCGACGAAGACGCGGAGCATATGTTTTTCAGATGTCCCCGCTTCAGCGAGATCCGGCGTATTTGAGAATCTAACCTTGGAAGGGAAGTCTGGCCTGAAAACATGATGGAAGCTATGCTCTCATCGCAGGCAGCCTGGCATGCTACGAGCAACTTCGTGGCGGAAGTCATGAAGGAGCTCAAGAATGAAGAATGCAAGCGGAAAGCTGCCCAATAAACGAGGAATTTAATGGAACCTCCTCCCCGCATACAACATCTCAGCGGGACAGGGGGACGTACATGAGATGAAAACAACGTGGAAGAGCAAACGGCTGAGACCTCCCTCACGAAGTAATACGTAACGGTGGTGCCGCGAGGAGAGTAAAAGGTCAGTGAATTTGTCTGATTGAAGTTCAGTCGGTATTGGTCCTTGCTACCCGAACCCGACATACCCCAGTTGCCGGAGAAAATCTCTAGGATTCTCTCCCGCAAGTGGAGATGCGTAAATGCATTCTCCCAACAGACATTTAAAAAAAATCCACACACACACATAAGAACATGTCTTCAAAATTTGTTCAAAATCTCTCAAAACGTCCAGAAATGTGGAAAAATCATGGAAATTCCACATTCGACTTTCCGGGTCATTACAATAATTATCCGATAGATCGGGAAGTTAAAAATTATGTGAAGTAAACTGTGAAGATGCAATCCACATAACAGTCAAAATAAATAATCGCAATCAAATTGCAAAATGTAATTCAATTAAAAAATAAGTCACCTATGCGACAATGGAACAAATGGAGAGTAAAGCTACCACCGAAACTAAACAAACACACACGA